GATTAGTTTCACAACTGATACACTAACATTTCCTTAGGTAACAAGTTGCTTGGATTTTTAGGTCAATAACTTATGGGCAGTTGTTATTTTATTGAGAAAGAATAGATTTCAAGATATGCTGATTTTACACAAAATCAGAGCACTTCTTATTCATTCTTGTGCTCACTCATTAATTCTTTCAACCAACGCTTCTTGAGCTGCCTGTAAAGACAAGGCATTGTGAACAATAAGCATGATCAATCCACACTGGTTGCTAGACAAGTTCAAAGGAGGCTAAAAGAGGTGAGGACAAGTTCTAACAAAGACACCTCTGCCTCCTTGGAACCTGGGAGAGCCCAGCAGGAGACAGACCACAGTGGTCAGAATCCAGCGTGTGCACATGAACCCTACATGGAAGACCCACTGATTGGGTCAGCAAGTAGTTCTGTCCCGCTGAAAATGCCAGGTTCCCCAATTCCAGGTTGGGTACCTCACTCTGACAATCCCTGTGCTTCCTCATCACTGTAGGAAAGTATCAATTTATCACTTCATCAAAGCATTAGTAGAAAACTTTTAAATCTTGTGCCCTTCTTGAAATGCTGACCTTGCATTTGACTTGAGGTACTTGATTCTCCTTAGATGGATGATGGTTATTTTCTAGAAAAACTGAACTATCTCCTGAGTTTTATTCTTTTCAGGCCCTACTTCAGCCACTGTTTTATTTCAGAGTAGACAATCTTTTGTTTTTGCCACCCATAATCTTTTTTCCATTCTTCAGGTACTAACCCCAGTTTTCCTTTACTGCAGTCACCCACCCCCAACGCAAACATACACACACACACATACACACACACACACAAACATGAACACTCTTAGTCTGTACAATTTGGGAAAGGGCTAACTCCACATGCTTTCCCAAGCCAGATAGAAATACACTGGCCAAGATGACTTGATTAAGGATGGGCATGTGACTCAATGTGGGCAAATGAGAATTCAAAGTAGATAGAAAAAATTTTAAGTCTTTGGAGAAAGAAGCTCTCCTTTTGTCACTGGTGTGGCTTGCAGGAGATGTTTAAGTATATAGGTGGAGCCTTCCTTCCTTCCAATATGAAAGGCGAGTCTGACTATTGATGGCACCCACAGAGGCGGAGGTGTCCAAAAGGAAAGGAGATCGAGGCCTGATCTTAATCCCTGGTTTCAGCATGATGAAAGCAAGCTGTACCCCTGGACCTTTCAACTATGTGAATTAATAAATTCCATTATTTGCTTTAGCCATTTTGTATTGAAGTTTCCATTGCTCTCAAAGGAGTCCTCACTGACACATCTCCCTACCCAAGCACCAAGTACAAAACTACATAGAAAACCAGAGAGCCCAATTTCCAAATATACCACACTTGCAAATCTTTATGTCTTTGTTAATTTCTCCAGAATTAATTGCTCCATCTTCTCCATGTTCCCTTAGCACTCTACAGATACCTAAAATTAAAATACTTAACATTTTGTATGATGCAATTCGTTTTTATAGTTGTCTTAGATTTTGAGCTGTTTAAGAGAAGGTATCATATCTTAATCTTTATATCTCTAGTACTTAGCACGACATTTACCACATAGAAGATGCCTGAAAACTTGTGATCAAATTAAATTTCCGGAGTAGGAGAAAAGTTTGGAAATGGTCTTTCATCTCTGGAGAATTCCAGCCTGGCATCATAGTCACTTGCTTGACCTGCATAATAGAGGTTCCCAGATGTTGGTGCCTTGGATGGTTTTAAGCCCATTTTTTCTCAGATCTGTTCCTGGACCTTTCCACTGGTCTGCTCTGTATAACAGGAGGATGACCTTTCATGGTTCCATGCTATCTGACTTCTGGATAGGTTCTACCAGCGAGTATCAGTAGGAGTTTAGAGGATGGAATAAAGGGAGAAGCCACAATATTTCTCCTCCTCTCTCTACTTCAAGCAAGGACTCAGGTAGTGGCTGTGTCTCTCCAAAAAATAACCAGATCCTCCTAGTCAGGACATTAGTTTAAACTTCAGCTTTCAGCTTGATGGCCATGGCTCCTGGGCTCCAGGAACATTTCCTCCTCCTGAGGAAACTGAAAGCTTCCTGCTCTTGCTAATCTCTTGGTTACCTGTCCACTTTGGTTTTTCAACATCTTCCATTACTTGTATAATCAATTCCAAACATTTAATACCCTCTGTTTGAAATACTGGGTGGTTCTGTTTTCCTGATGGAACCTGACTGATACTGTCATGTTTTTTAAATGCCAGCACCACTGAGTTATGTGTTTGTGTATGGGGCCCTCCCACACCCTCCAGTATAAGCCGGTAACAGATCAAGAATTACCTCCATAAGGACAGTTATTCTCAGAAGTCCCTGTTAACATACAAGTCCTTTTTTCTAGGTCATACCTTGCATAAGGAACTTGGGGTTGACTTATGATTCATCTGATCTCATTGAGTCACAAACCCAGAGTTTCTGCAACTCTCACTCCATGAAAACAGCTAAGACAAACTGGCCCTCTCTCCACCCAAAGGCACTTGTAATGAAAACACACTCATTTGAAACAAGAAACTTTAATGTACCCACTTTGTTCCACCGGGTGACCTATGGAGGTGGGAGTGGTTAAGCAAGGACAGGTCAGGCAAGAAGACTCCTCTCAGCCCATGACAGGAGTTGGGGGGAACTCTGCTTGTTATAATTCCTCTCTAGGAAGGTAGAGGTGAGTTCCTAGCCACATCAGAGAAATCTCCAATTACTTCAATAAAGAATGTATTCCATTTACTGACAATGAGTATTCGTTATACATCAATCATGGTGCAAAGTGTAAGGGTGCAGGTAAGGATGAGGCATGTAAGCAAAATTGTGAAGTAGTTCAAGTTCATCTCGGTTATCCAAACACTCAGACCACTGACTCTTTTATATCATGTTGACATTCCGCTGTCAGTCTTTATTCCCACCAAAACCTGTCATGTAAAAATCAGTTATACTAAAGTGTAAAAATTATCCTCTGAGGGGAGTTTACATTTCAGTGGGTATTAAAAACCTCAACATAAGGGATTTAATCTTCTTCAGTAAATCTAAAATAAGAACAACTTGTGATACTTATCCAAGTGACTGGATGGCTTTCTAGCCTCTGAAATGAGACCACTATTCCTTGGTCCACATTTTCTGCAGCTCCACTCAGAGGTATTAAAAACCTTTTACAAAATATTGCATTTCACTGCCACCTATGATAAAATGTGTATAGGCAAAGCCACATTTTCAATAACCTTGTGTTAGAAATAAGGAACCTCCCTGTGAACAGTCCAGTGAGTATTTCAAAATGTAACCTTGCTTTTCGTTTTCCCCTCCTTGCCCTACCTCCTCTCAGGGGACAAGGCAGCCCAGTGCAGGACATCACAATCCAAGCTGAGAGAAAAGGGCATCCATGCCTGTGGGGGTGAGAGGTCGGAAGTGGTGATGGGATACCGGTTACACACAGAAGAAGTGGCCAAAGAAGGAAATGTATTGAGGATAATGAGAGCCAGGTTTCTCACTGTTGGAGAAGGGGATTAGAAATATGGAAATGGAGAACTAGAATGAATCCTGTAGTATTGGATTGAAATTAGAGATATGTGACAGGGCGAGAGGGAGTCATGGACATATACACACTAACAAACGTAGTAAGGTAGATAGCTAGTGGGAAGCAGCCTCATGGCACAGGAATATTGGCTCGGTGCTTTGTGACGGCCTGGAGGGGTGGGATAGGGAGGGTGGGAGGGAGGGAGACGCAAGAGGGAGGACATATGGGAACGTGTGTATATGTATAACTGATTCACTTTGTTGTAGAGCAGAAACTAACACACCATTGTAAAGCAATTATACCCCAATAAAGATGTTAAAAAAAAGAAAAAAGAAAAAAGAAATTAGAGATATGAGTGTGAAATTGTGATTTTTAAAAATATAGATGCAGAAATATAGATGTTGTACATGTGAGTACACATTGTGCGTGTGTGTTTGTGTGTGCATTCCTGACCTCTGTTCACTGAGAGGATCTAGGAGTAGCAGTGCTCCAATAGCCATGCACCCATCTAGCACCCAGATGTTAGTTTTTTCAATACTATTTTCCACTAAAAGAAACCAGGGCTCCTTGGAGAAATGTTAGATTCCAGGGCAGGGGAAGGTGCAGAATGAGCTGAGCCAGGAACATCACACTGCTGTCAGAAAGTAAGAACATGGGGACAAAGTGTCAAAAGGGCACAGAAGCCAGCTTGGAGATGCTCCTCCTGGCCAATTAAGAAAAATATGCATGTGAGAATAGATGGTAATAGTGATAACAGTCTTACAGCCCACTGAATAAAACAGGGATCCCTTAAATCCATCATGGAAACATGAATAAATTGGAGGTTTAATCAGAAACAGGATATTTACATAGTCTCAAAGCACATCCCCTCACAAATATTTGTTAATTACAAAGGAAAAAAAGAGTAACTTTGCAGTGGAGAAGCCTAGCAGACACCATCTTAATCAAGTGCTGAAGTGAATATACTCCATTAGAGGACAAATCAATTTGCCTGATAGGACCCAGCATTGCTTTTGTGATCTTCCTGACAACAATGCAAAATCTGGATCTAATCACAAGGAAATCTCGAACAAACCCAAATTGAGGGGCATTCTGTAAAATAACTAGCCTATCATCTTCAAAAGTGTCAAAATCATAAACAGCAAAGAAAGACTGAGGACCAGTGCCTGACCAAAGGAGACACAGCTAAGTGAACGAGTTACCCTCGAATGGCATAGTCAGTGATAATAAAGCAAGGTTAACCTGGTTGTTTTAGCTGTACTATGGCTCTGTAGGATAATGTCCTAACTTGTGAAAATATACACTGAAGTTTGTGGGATGATGCATTAACAGGTTGGCAACTTACTCTCAAATAATTCAGCGGAAAAAATTGTGTTTGCAATTTCTCTGTGAGTTTGAAATTGTTTTCTAAATAAAAAGTGTAAAAATGTAATCTCATTCTGTATCTTGCATATACAAGTTCAAAGTTTGTCTTGTAATATTTATTGTGGTTGAATCCAATTTAAGTTAAAATACAAAATGCTTAACAAATATAAATCCAATACAGGTGGGAAACAAGATTATCCATGCTAGTATTTACAACTCTTTAATCTTTTCAAAAGATAACAACTTAGACTTTAGATAACACTTAGAACTTTTTGCCTCTAAGAGATAAATTATCAGACAATCTTCAAGGAAATCAGTGCTGTGTAGATGTTTTTAGTCTACTAAAGTCCAATTTGTAGCATAGAACTGATGGAATACTGTAGCAGAAAGCTTAAATTATGAAGTGGTAATGCTCATACACAGTAATTAGAATCCCCATCCTACATGCTATTTACTTTCTCTGAGAAAACAGACTTCTTTCTCTGACTAGGATACTTCACAACATGTCTTTCCAAACTAAAGAAATTCATTCAACACTGGTATTTTTAAAACCAGTGAGAACTTCTGGTTACACAGGTAGATTTAACAAGTATTCCTTTAAGAAAAAACAATTTTCAAGGGATAACTTGCACTTTACTTGTTACATGAACTTATAGTGCATTTGATTGCAAGCAGCAAGATAATTACCAAAGATACAAAATAAAGTTTTTTAAATATTCAATTAATTAAATATTTGCTACTTGTCAATCTCCTGCAAGGCCTCAAGCTAGATACTGTGAAGGGGAAACAAAAAACAAAGGAGCTTTCATCTTCAGGAACTCATCTTAATGCAATCATATCTATCATTATTACACAATTTACTGATAATCGGTGATCCTATCAAGAACTATCACAGGGAATTCCATGGTGGTCCAGTGGTTCAGACTCGGTGCTTTCACTGCTATGGGCTGGGTTCGATCCCTGGTCGGGGAACTAAGATCGCACAAGCCATGTGGTGCAGTCAAAAAAAAAAAAAGAAGACGGCTATCACAGAATACTTCCAATTATTAAAATCTACATTCAGGGGAAGAGAGGTGTCTTAATAAATCATCAAAATTAAGGAAACTCAGTTAAACTTTTCCCAGAAGATGACAGAAGTGTAGCACGTGTTCAAGTCTTAAACGTGATTATTAAGTTAATGCTTAGTGTCACTGTATTTGTACCAGAAAGAGCAGAAAGACCTCCCCCATCCTCCTTCACCAAAATCAAACAAAAATATACAAGAGATAATAGGTTAAAGTGAATATCAAGAGCCAACTTACAGAATTAAGAGATGGAGGGACATGTGGGTAAGGGGAGAGGGGTGTTGCCATGGAAATGGGTTGAAGGGTTTGTGACTGATTATATCTATGAAACTCAAGTAATGTTTCCCCATCAATTGACAAAACAATGACCTTCACAGGACTGCTCCCTGCTCTGTTGCCAAAACACAGGACAAAATTAGCCAACCTGTGCCTCATGCCCATGGGCAGCTCTGCCTGCACTGGTACCTTGTAATCTGTTTCAAATCATGCTAATGCTATAAATTGACAACCACTTTGTCTGATCAATTATTAGCCAGTTTATCATTAACATCACCAAGTGAATGAGATGTATGGCATAAGTCATTAAAGTTTAAAAAGCCATTTATATCCTGGGGAATTCCTCACCAAAATTGTATTGACTCTTTTTGAGCTGTGGAATAGATGCTTTAATTCACTATATCCCACCCCCACCCCAATAACTCTCCTCTTGTTCATTTTATTAGAGGTATCCTGCAGTGAGAATCAGCAACACGATCCAAATGAAAATTCACTTTCAAAGGAAATAGTATCTACTTTTATGAATTGGAATGATAACAAGATATTAAGCGGAATCCCTTGTTTAGGAAAAGGTACCACAATCCTATCATTCTGGGAATGCATTTAAGTTTTTCACCAAACATCACTGAGAGATGTGACTGATCAGTCTTTACGGCAAGGGAAGATTTTTAATACATTCTGAGGTTTGCAACGCCCGCCACGTTGTCACGCAGGTTGAAGTAGATGTATTCCGTGTGTTTTAAAACACACCAGTGTTTACTGCTTATATACCCAAGTATATACTGCTTATATACTGCAAATCTGAGACAGATGACTTAAGTTAGTTTGATTAAAAAGATCTGATTTTCTTTGTGTTGACACTGACAGCAAAATGGCACCCCATAAATTAGAATTCTAGGAAAGAACTGTTAGTAGGGGTTTTTGTGTTTGTTTTGTTTTGTTTTGTTTTCTCTCCACAGACACGTTTGTGGTGATCTGTTGGTGACAACTTTTAATGGAAAGAGGCTCTCACTTTTCGGCCCTTCAGAGGCTGTGGTGGACGGTGATTGCTCAACAAAAAAGCCGCTGCTTTGCCCTCCCCTGTACACAAGAGAGTGCGGAATGTGGCCAGCTGTTGAAAAAAAGAGAAGAGTTAGTTTTAGCATAGAAAGTCATGCCAATGTTAATGAATTGCCCTGCACAGAAAGTTAAGAAACTTATAAGCTTTCTTCCACTGGGAACTAAATGTACTTCAATGAAAATTTTCTAAGTTATGGGTCATACATCATAAAGCAACACTTCTGCTAGATTCTTATCACAATACAAATATCTATGGGTTCAAAAATTAAGTATATAAGCTTTCTTCATTTGAAGATCAAAGTAATAAGAGGAAACAACATTTAGAATGTGGTTTAAAGAGTACATATCTAGAAATCAGAGAATGTCACCTGCAAAGGCATAATGGGACAGTGGAAAGGGTTTTCCAAGCTGGGTCCCAGTCCTGGTTCTGCCACTAGTGAGCTGTGTGACCTTGGGAAAATCATTTATTGTCTCTAGTTTCCTCATCTATAAAGTGAAGCATTGGATTAGATTACCTCAATAAGTGTCATCCAGCTCTTGGAATTACACTGAATACTCACGAGCACTCCAATATAACATGGCCCAAATTTTCAAGGGAACCATGTGGTACTCATCCTACAGAATTTTCATCTTTTATGCACTGTTTTCCTTAAACAGTGATTTTTCTCTCACCATATGTGTGCCTTGTCAGCAACTAACTCTGGGAAAAGACTAGGAGTCTTCAACCACTTATAATATTTCAATACAATTTAAGCGATATAGGCATATTTCTCAACACAGGGGCTTACTTTTTCTTATCTTACACACACACACACACACACACACACACTGCTTAATTATCTTACAAACTTCATATAGTAAACAAAGTGTCAAGAAGAAAACAGAAATTACGAGAAATCACATCACAAAATATAACCACTGTTAACATTATGGAGTATATCCTTCTAGATGTTTCCTTATGTACAAGCACTATATGCACATGCACCAGTACACACGCTTGACACGTTTTATTGTAAAATAAGCTCAACTATACTTACTCTTTTGAAACCTTATTTTATCACTTAATATATATCCTTCACATGTCTATAGATATATCTATGTCACTATTTTTAATTGCTGAAAAGTTTTCTATTATAAGCTTGTTTTATAAATTATTTAGCAATTCCTTTGTGATTTAATATTACGTTTTAAGACTAAGCACAGGTTTATAGTAGTAAAATGAAGACTGGGTAAATTACCTGAATAATTTTACTGTCTCAAAAACGTTCACTAAAAACATATTGCCACACAAGTAAGTTTTTGGTGTCTGTTTTGCTGTTTTGAGTGAGTACAAAGTATTAAATTGTTGAGAATGAGAGCCTTCATTCTCTAAGTTTCGTTAGTCACCTAATCAAAGAGTCAAGGAAATTCAGACTAGGACACATATATTAGGTTTCCATCATCACCATTTACCTGAAGCCTAAAATATTTCTCTTAACAGTACTAGCCAGGATGGGAGACAGAGGTGATGCAGGTCCTTCATAATAAAGAGGCAATAGTTTATAACCGCACTCTATGGAGATATGTTCAGGTATCATATACAAGCAGCTGTGTATTTCCACAAGTCATATTTTGAGGTGTCTTTTCAAAGAGTATAGATATGAGAAGAATAAGACAAATATTTACAACTTGCTATTACTCATGTTTCATTATACCAGATCATTATGGCTAAAGCCAGATGGGACATATATAATTCTCTGGTAAAGTCAAGTAGCAGAGGCTAATGAAATCTAACCTCCACAGCCACAGAGAAGATGTCCAGCCTTCTGCAGATCATGATGATCCAGGTCTATCTGGAGTGGCCACTCCAGGTGACTGTGCTGGAATCCCAAGTCCTGAATCAGTGCACTGATTTGCCAGCCTCACTGAACACAACTAGCCTCCCAGGGAAACTGCCTATTCCTCTGAAGATCTTGGCTTTATTTATCCCCCTATCCCCCTTTGACTCCTCTGCAAATTGATCATGGCTCCCTACCTCTGCAACACCTTAGCCTCATCCATCTAGAACTAGAACTTACTCTAGATCTTTCTCTGACCAGCCTGCTCATTTTGGTAAGAGTCTCTGAACCTGTCCTGATGTCTCATCAAACCCCTTCCCTTTCTGGTGCTGGATCGTCCTCCTGGTCCCTTAGCCCAGCTAGGTAGACCCTGATCTGCTAGGCTCTGCTTAGATTGGCTCCTATCAGTGTCATACCCTCACCAGGCCTCTGGCTTCCTTTAGGCAGAAAATCTGTCCCTCTGTCACTAAGGCTGACTCAGTATCTAAACAGCTCCTGGCAAGAATCTCCCCAGCTCAGGGTGAAGGCTGTTTTGCTGTTTTCTTTGGCTCTACTACTGAAAGTTTAAATTTCTTCTGTAGTGACCCCAGTAAGCAGAAATACCCTTTTCTAATGTTTTGTAAACAGCTTTGATTAGTCACTCTAGTGCTCAAATGTCTTTACTAGCTCTCCACTGCCTGCCGAAGTTGACTAACAATAAAAATAAGCTCTCTCTTATAGGACATGGTGGGCCACATACTATGCTAAGTGTTTTACATTACATAACACATTTAATGCTCCAAACAAACCTATCTATAATATACCATTATACCCATTTTAAACATGAGGAACTCGAGGGAGAGTTAGGAAATTTCAATAAATAAGTCATCTGGCAAATAAGCCATGCACTAATCACAGCACTACACTGTATCTGTAAGTGTTTTTCTTTCTTTTTTTTTTTTTCCATTTTCCCCTAATCTCTTCTTATTTGTTTCTTATTATGGAAACTGGCAGATATACAGAAGGGTAGATAGAGTAACATAATAAACCATCACCCAGCTTCAACAGTCATCAACACGTGGCCAATTCTGTTTCATCCACACTCTCACCCATTCTCTCTCTCCATCTGCGAATCCTGCCCAAACTGTATTATTTTGAAGCACATTCCAAATATCATATCATTTCAGGTGTAAACATTTCAAAATATATCTCTAAAATATATAACATTTCAAACCCTATTAAGGCTCCAAAACAAAATTGTTAGCATGGCTTCCAAGCCTCTTGACCACCCAATTCCAACTAATCCTTCTAGATTATTTCCTATTATTCCACACACAAGTTCCACTCTAGGTCAGTTTTGTGAAGGGGTGTCCAAGAGCATCTGAATGAAAAGATTTTGAGGTGATTCTTAAAACTTGAGATTCCTGGACCCACCCACCCCACCCCCTCAGACTTCTGAATCAGAGTTTCTAACAAGGCCCAAGGATCCACATTTTGGTAAGCTTCATCAGGTGATTCTTGCATACTCTCAATTTTGACAACCACAGGTACAAAGTTGCCCACATATTTTTTGCACTTCTCCTTTTTGCCTTTATTTATGCTATTCTTTCTTGAAATACCCCTTTCCTTTATACTCCCAACCTGTCCCCACTTTTTGAAGCAACCCAAATGTAAGTTCTTTCATGAAGTCTCTTCCTGATTTCTCCACTGAAAACTAGTCTCTCCCCTTCTGAAATTGCCTTACACCTTATATTCTCTTACAGTACCAAGCAAAGCCACTGTGTTACAGTTTTTTATGCATTTATTTTATCCCCTCTGTTAGATTATAAACTACGGGAGGACAAGGGCCTTTTTAACACTTGTTTATACCTCTTGCATCATGCCTTGCAAAAATTGGCAATTATTAAACAATTCTAGAATTGACTTATACTGTCTTCTAAAATTTAAAACTTTAATTTCAAAGATAATTAAATAGTTTTATATAGTAAGTCAAAATTAATATTCAAGTGAATGAATTCTTTCCTCAATTCACACATAGTCTGAAGATGCAGAAGTTAGGGAAATTTTCCTAGATTGTTAATTATCATTAATTACAAAATAAAAAATTTTACTATTAAAAAAGGACATTAGAGTTTTGATTCCAGATCTACTGGACTAAGACTCTGCAGACAACCTTCCTGTAGAAAAAGACAACTGTGAAACCCAGACACAATACAAAAAAACTAGCTGCAGGTACTAAAGAGTGAACAGAAGTAGAGGGATATAGATGGGGAGTTCATGCTCATTTGGAGATATGGGAGCCCTCAAGTGAGTTCCTGTCTCTCCAGTTTTTCACTTGGACAGGGTGGAGTCTGCAAGGTGCATAGAGCTGCTATGGGGCATACCTGCCTTGCAAGGAAAGAGCAACAGAGAGGATCCCCAAACTCATACCCAAGAACTACACATGTACTGAGACTGAAGCTACTGTGCAAGAAGGAAAATCTGCAACTCAAGCCCAGCCAAGAAAATTACCTGCCAACACAAAGGAAACAGTACTCATCAGAGGAAAAATAACAGATCCAGAATCTCCACAACTTATTGTTCGTAACATCTAGAATTCAATAGAAAATTACTCAATATACAAAGACTCAAGAAAATGGAATACATTCTTAAATAAAGAAAAATCAACAAAGTGAGACTCAAGATTACCCAAATTTGGAAATTACAAGGATTCTACAGTGGCTACTTCAACTACCTGTGGGTTATATGAAGTTAAACAGCATACTTTTTAGTGCGTGAGAAATTTCAACAGAGTAATGGGAAGTCTCAGCAGAGAAATAGAAATAATAAAAAAGAATCAAGTATAAATTTTAGATCTAAAAAATATAATTTCTAAAACAAAAATTCACTGGATAAAATTAACAGACAAACTGACATGACAGAGAAAGAGCAAATGAACTTGAATATAGATCAATAGAAATTATCCACAGTGAAGAACAGAGATTTTTTAAAAGATTTCAAACTAATAGAGCCTTGGAAGGAACCTGTTAGATGTTATTAAAAGGTCAAATGTTTGCATAATTAGAATATCATATATGAAAGCAACCTAAGTGTCATCAACAGATGAATGGATAAAAAAGATGTGGGGTGGTGTGTGTGTGTGTGTGTGTGTGTGTGTGTGTGTGTGTGTGTGTGATGGAATATTACTTGGCCAGAAAAAAAGAATGAAATTTGCAACAACATGAAGAGACCTGGAGGGTATTAGCTTAGTAAAATAAGTTAGAGAAAGACAAATACCATATGTTTTCACTTATGTGTGTAATCTACAAAATAAAACAAATGAACAAATATAACAAAACAGAAACAGACTCAAGATAAGAGAACAAAATAGTGGTTACCGGAAGGGAGACAGCTTGGGGAAGGGCAATATAGGGGAAGGGTATTAGAGGTACAGACTACCAGGTATAAAATAAAGAAGTTATAAGGATGTAATGTACAGCACAGAGGAATATAGCCAATATTCTGTGATAACTTTATGTAGAGTATAATCAATAAAAATAATAAATCACTATGTTGTATACCTGAAACTGATATAATATTGTAAGTCAACTGTACTTCAAGTAAAAAAAAGAATATCGGAAGGAAAGAAAATGGGACACAACACACATAAAAATTAACTCATAAATAATAGAACACTTAAATGTAAAAGCTAAAACTATTATTTAAAGTAGGAAAAAGTATTTTGTGGTATATAGTTAGACAAAGATTTCTTATCAGGAAACCAAAAGCACAAACGATAAAAGATAAATTGATAAAATGACCTTCATCTAGATTAAGAACTTTTTAACTTTTGCTCTTCAAAAGATATAGTGAAGGGCTTCCCTGGTGGTGCAGTGGTTGAGAGTCTGCCAGCCGATGCGGGGGACACAGGTTCGTGCCCCCGTCCGGGAAGATCCCACATGCCACGGAGCGGCTGGGCCCGTGAGCCATGGCCGCTGAGCATGCGCGTCCGGAGCCTGTGCTCCACAACGGGAGAGGCCACAACAGTGAGAGGCCTGCGTACCGCAAAAAAAAAGAAAAAAAAAAAAAGATATAGTGAAAAAAAAGAGAGGCAAACCACAGACTGAGAGAAAATACTCTGTCAGATTGTTTTGAATGCTCCCTCTTGGAAAAGGCCTTTAACTCCAAACCTGAAGGAGGAGCAGGAGTGTTTATGTACTATATGATTCCATTTAAATAAAATTTTAAAATAACATTCTAGTGACAACATCTCAGTTGTTGCCTGGGGCCATGGACAAGGAAGAAGATGGAGTACAGAGGGGCACAAGGAAACTTTTTCAGCCAAGGGATCCACTCTATGTCTTGATTGTAGTGGTTGTTACAATAACCAAAATCATCAGCTGCACACTAAAATTCATGAATTTTATTGTATGCAAATATCGTAATAAACAAAAAAAGAAAAAAAATTTCTTTAGAAAGGAGTACAGAATTAAAGCCAAGTATTCTGCACGTCAAATTTCAGCAGGTCAGTAAGCCACTATAGATAATCTGGCATAAACCAAAGAGACTTGGCAAGAGAAGTCAGCCTTCCAAAGAATGACAGATCTGTTATCAGAAGTAGCAAAAAACAGTGTATCTGTTTACTGGCCTGGCAGTTAAATCAAGCATTCCCGTAAATGACTCTTTTTCTTTGGGGAGAAAAATGGACTTGGATCAAGAAAAAGAAAACGAAAACCATCTGATTTGCCCTTTAGGTCAAACAATGACTTGGCAAGAAATAGCAGCAGGAAAAAAACCTAGAAAAAAATTGGCACCAACTTACTAAAAAGAGGATTTAATCTTCACAGATAGTGACATTATATGGTGGAATTGAAAAATAAATAAAAATACAATTTTCCAGTGGTTTCTAAAATAAAGAGCTGCTAAAATTGAGATTAAAAATTATCTTTTGAAAAGTAATCCTTAAATCAATGGTATACACAAAAGACATTTTCATTTTACTTTATATAAAAGAGTTAAGCAACTAAATAATCTTATCAACCCTTTCATGCTTTGGATTTTTAAAATATGCTTTCTATTTTAGAACAGTTTTGGATTTACAGAATTCTTGCAAAGATAGAATAATTAGTTCTCGGATACCCCACACTCAGTTTCCCCTTTTATTTTTTTTCATTCACTTTTAAGGACGCACACAAAAGTTTCCCGTTATTAACATCTTGCATTAGTATGGTACATTTTTCACAAGTCGTGAACCAATATTAATATGTTATTATTAACTGAAGTCCATCTTTTATTCAGATTTCCTTTGTTTTTACCTAACATCTTTTTCTGTTCCAGGATCCTATCAGGAAATGGCATCATATTTAGTTGTCTTGTCTCCTTGAGCATTTCGTGATTATGACAATTTCTCAGACTTACCTTGTTTTTGATGACCTTGACAGTTTTGAGGACTACTGATCAGGTATATTGAGAATGTCTCTCAACTGGGCATTTTCTGATGTTCTTCTCATGGTTCAAATGGGATTTGACTCTTAAAATATCTTTTGCTTCATTCTTTAAATCTTAAAATCACCATAATAATTTGGATTATTACGATATTATAATCATGATAATTTGGATTATTAAGATATTATAATCATCATAATATTTGGGATTATTACTCAGATAATCATTTCAATCTGGTTAAAAATAAAATGTCTGAAAGTGTTCCTGCTACAGTAGATTTAAGTGAATGCCTCAAAGTGAATTACCACTCACACTAAAGCTCTAAAATACAGCTATTATTTTATAAACTCTAACTGCATAAAAACCACATTAATAATTAACATTAATGAATTGAGCTTCAAATAAGATACAGTAGTGAATTCACAGCTAGGCAGTCAGTCATTCCTAAACTTGCAGGGGGTTATTTTTGATTTGGTTAACTTTATGTATTTTAAGTAACTAAATATATATTTTGATATATATTGTTTTCCAAATCACAGGTGGATTGAAAAATTTATTTTCCAACCGGCTTTAAGGAATAAAGAAATTCTTGAAATATGAGGGAAAACTTGATTCCCTTAATATTACTAACTTGATGTTATAATGTATTAACTCTTACTATTAACCTATTCAAATTCAATAAAAGAATGTAAAAGTAAACAGTTTAGCACGTGAAGGGGAGGAAAATGAACCCCATTAATAAAGCCACTGAATCTGTGACAGGTCATTTTTCTCATGATGCAACTCACCTTATTTATGATGGAAAAAATTCACAGGAATTTCTGTGTCAGTCAAGCTCTGGATTTCTACCCAGACTTTTATAAAGTGTTTTAATACGTATGCCCCAGATTATTATTTGGCTTTCATTCTAAAGACAAGGTCGACAGAAGTTGGATGTGTTCAACACCCCAAGGGGAAAAGTTACCTGATATGACCTTCGTAAAGGTGAAACAGCTCTAGTCTTTGATTGGACGAAAGATATAATCCACTAGGCAGGTGGGCCAGCCCAGGACAGGAGTACTTTATTAGATGCAAAAATTACTAGGTTATGTTCTTACTAAGATTTTGCAGCATATAATTTGAAACAGAAAACAAAACAAAACCCGTTAGGTATAGCATCCCAGAGCACAGAGCATCCACCTGGCAGATTCGTCAGTCACAGGGTGGGTTCACAGCTCTGGCCAGAGTCATCAAAGACATTCCGAGACTGACTGACCGACTGACTATGGGGGCTCTATAAGCATTTATCAGAAGAACCAGTGAGGAAATGTCCTCACAAGAGGAGTACAGGCAGCCACCCACAGCCTCTTAGCAAATGCTTAAAGCCCCTCAGGCAGCTTCACAACAGTTTTGTCGATAAAAGCCAAAAGATCAGATGGACTTCTTAAATTTAACAAGTACACATATTTCTTAGGGTGCTATGCCCAAGGCTGTTCTCACCGTTCCCTTTCTAAATGTGAGATCTGTAGGAGAGGCAGGTCCAGGGACTGAGGTCAAAAAGGAGACTATCACCTTTTGAGATAAGCTTCTCTCCTGATTTTCCCATTTGTATCCCAGACTGTTAATATCTCAGACTACACAAAAGAAAATAAAAACAAACAAGTATAGCCCTTAAAGTGGCACTTCACTTCCACCCGTGCCTGTTTGCACATTGCATTTCTAGGAAATGGGAAAGAAATCATCTAATCATAGAAGGTCAAATAAGAAAGGGACATAAATCTCATCTGGTCCAACCACCCATCTGACTAATGAAGAGAAAGGTAAAGCTTTAATTTCAGGCTTCACAACAGCAGAAATGAGGGCAGGGTTTGAAAACACACACACACACACACACACACACACACACACACAAGATTAAGCCCAGTTTCCTCTAGTGAATCAGGATCAATGTGGAAAAAGCGATATACCTGTTGAGAGCTGATGTTTATAGGTTGTTTTAAAACGATCCATGTGACGCTCTCTAGAAGAGGTGGGACTGTAAGGGAACCAGGATATGTCCAATAATCCCAGCGTGGAGGAAGCAGAGATAATGGGTCAAAATTTGTGAATCGAGTTTGTTTACCCTGAGGAAGAAAAGAGAATTCCCACAAATTACAATGGGAAAGCTTTACACAGACCTCAAAAACATACATCCATTGAAATATCATTTCACTGGAATTCTGTAATTCATGGAATTATTTAGTATCTGCTTTTCATATCTTAAAAAAAAAGAATCTGCCTTAATCTAAAAATTTAAGACGAAGTAGCGTATCACCTAGATTTATTTAAGAAGCTCAAGATTTACTTTTTAATGTAAGTGGTCTTTAAAATGTGTTGCCACTAAAGGCTTACTCTGCAAAACTCCAACAAAAGAAACTAATTATGCAAAAATAGATGCATTAGTGATTGTTTTAGATAACTTAAGACCCCTTCATAATTTTCAAGAGATAAGTGGTAATAAACTACTTCTGTTCTATTGGTCAAGTATGTTCCAAACCTGCTTCCAAGCCGGCAGCATATGCTATGTCAAAGTCTAAATTTTTAAAAGAAGATAAGAGAATTCAGGAGAAACCAAGGAATATATTAGTCACTAGTAAATAGCAATTAATTTTACCTTTTCTTTAATGGAATCCAAAATATCGGTAATCTTTTGAAGTTGGGGATTATGCTCACCAATCTGAAAACACAACGTTTCAGAAGAAATGGTTACTGTAGCACATCAGGTCTGCATCACTCCATTTCAGTCACTATTTTTAAATTCTTCTTTTTTTAAAAAAAAAAAAAAAACCTAAGCCAGCCCAGAATAAACAAACAGTGATTGTTCTATAGTGAGGCTCTCTTTCACCTGCCAGCCTTATCACACCAGAAAAATCGAAACAACAAGATAATATTACAGGGCTCCTTGGCTGAACTATAACTTCGATTCCAAAACTAGCAGTAACAGCTTCTTATTTGTCAGCTTTATGAATGTTCAGGGTACAGATTCTCTCGAGAGAAACTTTGCTTAGGAAACTCTTACATAACACCTGCACTATTAAACCAGATGTGACTTTCAGACCCTAGATCCAAACCAACCATTGGTGACAATCAAAACATTAGAGGAAAACATCTCCCACTTTCAGCTTAAAATGACTTGAGGTCCTGAATCAAGGGAATGTATCATCATGAGGAGAATCCTTCAGAAAAAATATATATACTTCTTTTCATTTATTTGGGGTGTCCTGAATCTCTCTGAAGGTTTTAAGTCCTTGGGATTCAAGTATAATGCCTTGCCCCACTTGGATCTCACGGCCACCACCAGACTTGAGGACCGAAAAAAGGAGCTGCTGCTATGCATGCCAGTCTCTGCTCTGCCCCATGCTTCCCCCTGTCCCAGTGCAACGATTTACAACATCAACATCACGCAGAGTCAGGGGCATATCGAAAGTGCACACCCTAAGGAATGTGGTCGCAGTGGGAGTTGAGCGGCACAGCCCACCCACAGGTATTATGACAGTGATACCTCCTGTGGATATCAGACAAAGGAAAATACAACAGAATCTTTTAAAATGGTCAGTGTGTTTGGGACAAAATACTATTGTGGTCAAACTAGTGCTTCAAGAATCAGGAACTTGGGCTTCCCTGGTGGTGCAGTGGTTGACAGTCTGCCTGCCGATGCAGGGGACACAGGTTTGTGCCCCAGTCCGGGAAGATCCCACATGCCGCAGAGCGGCTGGGCCTGTGAGCCATGGCCGCTGAGCTTGTGCATCCGGAGCCTGTGCTCCGCAACGGGAGAGGCCACAACAGTGAGAGGCCTTCGTACCGTCAAAAAAAAAAAAAAAGAATCAGGAACTTGAATTTTACCCTATCCTGTATCTCCAAATATTGAGCAGTCAGGAAGAGCCTATTATAAAGATTTTCTTCTCAAGATCTCAGTTGTTACTTCTGCCACTATTGTTGCTGCATCTGCGTTTGCTATTCACAAAAAAATGATCAATGGACAATGAGACGTTTCATAAGACAATGTTCCTAGGGTAGTTCTGGGCCCTTAGATGAACCATAAAATAATATACAAAACTTTAAAATTCACTTCAAAGGGAAAACATTAAACCTAGAACTAGTTTACTATTAAAAAATGGTAGACCGTCTACCCCATGATTGAAACTCTTTATCCAACATGGCTGACTAGTTATGCAAAATGAAATTAGTGATTCTCACCTGTAAAAATACGCCCAAGACAGCTAGTCCATCTGGCTCATGAGCTGCCTCAACAAAGCTGGGGTATTTGTCTGAATTCCAGTGAACAACGTGGAGCTGAAAGGGAGGAACACAACATAATTCAAATTTTTTTTTTAAACACCCTTAAAAACATAAATACAAATAAAACATTTATATAGATCTTCTGGTGTTGTGCACTTATATGTATAATGTCCAGAATCCTCCTCTTTACTTTTGTCTAAAAACTAAAGTACACAGGTGAAGGACCATGTCACTTTGGTCTGTGGTGTACTGTGCTGAAGTCCACATCACTAGAAGGCTCTGGAGCATCCTGTCAAGCCTCTCTAGCCCTAACAATCTCCAACCATTGCTCCCAAGTGACTCAGGGCTCCCCCATGTCCACAGATGGGACTGCAACTGTGCAGCCTTCAATTAGACCCCAGCTGGCAGCTGAGTCCAACGCACGAGCGCAGGGTCATAGGCAAGTGGAGAAGTCAACCTCCACACAGTAGGTATTTGGGGACAATCCTGCTGCTGAGAACAGCGCCAGTTGTTCCTGAAACTGCCAGTCAGATGTTCATCACTGCAGTTTAAGACTTTTTATGGCTTGAAAATGCAAATTCTCCTTAGGGGTAATTATTTTTAGCGGTATTTACACATTTTCTAACTTCTAAGAATATGTTCAGATCCTGTGTTGAGAGCAAGTTTTAAGAGGGAAAAAGAGGCTTCAGGGTCTTGTAAACAGAGGCATCTGAGGAAGAAAATGAGAGGCAGCTGGTGCTACTGATGAGGGGGGAAAAAAGAAGGAAGAGACAAGGAGTTGGAGTTGGACAAGGAGTTGGAACTCTAGAAAACAGGCTTCACCCACTTCACAACTTCCAAAGGTGTCCTAAATGTCCTATAATAATAAACAATGCAGTATCCCAGACTCACAAACAAGCGTGAAGGGTTGTAGAATGACAGTAAGGCAGAAGACCACTCTTAGAGGGTCTTCATTCCTGGTTAAGGGAAGGACAAACTGAGATAGAATCCAGAGGGCAATGCAGGCACCCAAATGACTTGGCCAAGATCATGACTCAGCCATGTTGTCCAAGGACCCTCCAGGAAGGATGGACTTCAGATAAGATCTCTTTCAAATGAGTCCTTTTGGCACCTCGGGGAGGAAACACTTATTTATGAAGGGTTTCATGCACAAATCACCTTTCTGGCTGTAACAGAGAGAATGTAGTATATTCAAATGAATATTTTTACCCCTTCCTTTAAATATAACTTCACATCTCACAGGCAACTAATATGGGAGGCTTTCTAGATAAATAAGAGTTACCATAAACTGGGAACTATAAAACTATAAAATAGTGCACCATTAACAAACAATCAAGGAAGACTGTGGCATATCTAGATGGAAAATACAGAAGCAGATTCTTCTGGTGCCATGGTCTATGTTGATGTCAGATAGCTGGGAGAGGCACAAAGCCTGAAAACATTGGATGACGAAACAAAATTCATGTGGCTCACATGAGACAGATGATGTTCCACTGTAAGGGAGAGGTAGGAAAGTATGCTGAAGTTGTTTTAAGTGGCTCCTTGCCAACATAGTTCACTTTGTAAGAGATGACACCAAAGAGATAGAAAGATGTGAAATGCCCTCTTTATGTTCGCAACTCCAATGGATTAGAAAATGAATGTGTAACTAAAGAGACATGAATCTATCTGTATATCCTTCCACTGGTTAAAAACAACAATTGTTTGAAATATTATAGGAGACTAAAGCAAGAAAAATGTTTTGTTTTTTTAAACAAGTCCTTCTCTCTGCCACACACTTTGCTTAACTGGCAGCAGTATCTTCAGAGCCACTGATATCAGCTTTATTAGCATTTGTATTTGAACTAAAACTCAAACAAACAACAAACTCACATTTTCTAACAGTGACAGCCACAGTGATTTGAACTGAATGACAAGAAGTTATAGTAGCCACTGCAAAAATGGAAATAAGTGCTTCCCTGGTGGCGCAGTGGTTGGGAGTCCGCCTGCTGATGCAGGGGACACGGGTTCGTGCCCCGGTCCGGGAAGATCCCACATGCCGCGGAGCGGCTGGGCCCGTGAGCCATGGCCACTGAGCCTGCGGGTCCGGAGCCCGTGCTCCGCAACGGGAGAGGCCACGGCAGTGAGAGGCCCGCGTACTGCAAAAAAAAACCAAAAAATAAAACAAAAGGGAAATAAGATTCTTCCCTATTGGAAAGCAATCTCTAAATAATAGTATTTTTCAACTTTAATATTTTTAAATTGCATATTATTGCTTCATATAATGTGCTCATTAATGTTGAAATTGTAATTTTACTATCAACTACATATTTAATACACTCATTATGTATTTGGCATAAATTGTAATCAGATAAAGTTCCAAATATGCAGCGAACTATTAGCCTACTTTTTGTAGATAGGTGACTCTCGGGATAAAGTCTTTCATGATTTAGATTACTTTAATATCTGTAATGTCACAAATCATTAGATTAGGCTCCAAATTAAATTTTTATAGGTTACAGCTTTAAATGTGGGTGGGGTTTTTTTGTGTTTGTTTTTGTTTTGTTTTCTTTTTGTGGTACGCGGGCCTCTCACTGTTGTGGCCTCTCACGTAGCGGAGCACAGGCTCCGGACGCGCAGGCTCAGCGGCCATGGCTCATGGGCCCAGCCGCTCCGCGGCATGTAGGATCTTCCCGGACCGGGACACGAACCGTGTCCCCTGCATCGGCAGGCGGACTCTCAACCACTGCGCCACCAGGGAAGCCCCATATTTTTATTTTTTAAGAGGACACAACTTGATGATAGTCCTGAAGTTAGGTACAAAAGTAGCTGGAAAAACTAAACAACCCCTAGGAATCACTTATGATAGCCAAGCACAAAGGGATCCTTTTGAACCTGAAACCCAACGCAAATGACTCCCAAATACCTCCATCTCCCACCCTGACCTTTTCTTTAAACTCCAGGTTTGTATCCAGTAGCCTATTTGAACACGAGACTAGAATATCTATAGTTGTCTCTCCAACTTAACATGTCCAAACAGTTCATTCCTGTCTGCAGCCTGCTCCTCCCTAGACTTTCCCATCTCAGCAAATAGCACAACTATTCTCATGGTTGCTCAAGCCAAAATCTTAAGAGTGCTTCTAGATTCCTCTTTTTCCTTCCTTCAATATTGACATCCTTCTCCTTGGCAAATCCCATGGATTTTACCCCCCAAACATATGGATTCGTCTAGCTCTCTTCATCTCCACCACCCCATAGTACAAATCACCATCATCGCTCATGTGAACACGTTCATAGCCTTCTAGTTTGTCTCCCTGCTTCTTCAATGTTTGCCCAAACTCTTAGCCACGGAGCAGCTAGCTATATTTTATAAAATATAAAGCAGAACATGCCATTGCCCTGCTCGAAACCCTCCATTGTCTTTGTCCTGCTACATGAAGATAAACTCCAAACTGCTCACCAAGCCCCCCAAAGACCAACTTGGTATGGCCCCTGCAGGCCTCTCTGGAACATGGCTAATAATATCTCCTCTCTCATTAACTCCAATCCTGGAAGCCAATGTCTTTGTCTTCTAGAACATGCCAACCTCATTTCTTCCTGAGAGCACCTGGACCTGTTGTTCCCACTTACCAGAAAGATCTCCCTAGATTTCCTCAGAGTGGCTTCTTCTGGTCATTCAGTCTCAATTCACTGATCATCTCAAAGAGGCCTTTCTTAAGCACCCAGTTACTCTACCAGATCATGTGGTATTGTTCCTATCAAAGAACTTACCACATCCAATTTATTTATTTGTTTATTGTCGACCTTGAACACCCACCAACCCTGAGGTCTGACCCAGACTTCCTCTTCTTCCAGTTACATTCCTATCTCAAGCCAGAAACACTGACTCCTTCCCTCCCTACCCTCAACCCCAAGTAATCACCAATCACCCCACTGAAGTGGCACTTCCAGCCAGCCAGCCCTCCAGCTGCACTATGTCCTATTACCTGGAAAATTCCCGAAAGCCTCCTGACTGGTTCCCTTTATCCACTCCTGCTTCAACCCAATTTATTCTCAAACTATAGTTTGAATGATATTTTTAAAACACGTATATGATCACTTCCTGATTCAAAGCCAATAAGTGGCTTCTTGTTGCACTAAGAATAAAGTTCGCAATACTCACGTGACTTACCTTAATAAGATGAGATGCCTCTAGCCTCCCAACTTTACCCCTGACAACCCTCCCCTTTTTACTTCGTGCTCTAATCACACTGGCCATTCTGTTCTTCAAATATGTGATAATATGTTATACTCTTCCCCAGCCCCAGTACTCACACATGAGTCTATGCAGGCGCTCTCCCCTTTGCCTGGCTCACTCCTGCTCCTGCTTCAGGTTTGGGTAAAGCCTTTTCCATGAGGAAGTGTTTCCTGACCCATCCCTCCTCCTTCACAGCACTCCCTTCAGGATGAGCACGAGTAAGTTGGGCCAAGATGGGGGACATGCTACGATCTCAATGAATTCTTAAAAGAATGAATGAATGCATGCATGCATGAACAAATGAAATAAATAGCCTTAAACATACATTAAAGAACAGTGTGAAATTCCAGTCAAAGCTTCATCTTCTTCAAGAAGGAAAACCTACAAAGATGGCCCTTGCTCTGCAAGTAAGGACTCTGAGCCTCTGACTAATTTCAGGATATATGAGGGCCCTTTCCAGGAAACCACTTGCCAACTCAGAGTCAACCTCTCTGAGAGTATACTTTGAAGTTTATGAAGTTAGAAGGTGTAAACGTAAAGCAATGTGACCAATTTTCCTAAGCGGCTTAGGAAAATTACAGTTCAGTGATCCAAAGCCAGCTCTTAATCTGCACAAAGCTTTTGAAAGTTAGAACATGTCAAATTTAGAACACGAAACTTTAGAAAGCAAACATGAAAACTATTCAGTAGGTGATATAAACTGAGACACTGTACAGATTCAGGAGTTCTGCTTTGTACATTCTTGGCATCTTTTGTCCACTTTGGATGTAGATTTTATTCCTCCACCCCAAGGAAAGAGCAGGTCCCATACCCTAAGCACTTGGCCTCAAGCAAAAGTGTTTTAGTAGGCAAAAAGGACGTTTTGGTTGATAGTCTCAGAGAGCAGATGTATAAGTCAACAGAAAAATAAAACTGGAAAGAAGTCTGTTTGCTGAATCTCTCTGAACAGCAGGGCTATAAAAGAGTGTCTCAACTCCACAGGTCAGTAATCACAAGAAAAATGAAGAAAAACTGCACTTGCCTGGTAACATTTGCTCTGTCTTGCCTAGGCGACTCACAAGCCACATTATATATTTTCACATAAGTAGCTCTGGTTGAGTCACACAATAATTCACTTTCATCTCATGATAAAGCTGGGTGTTAGCAATATTTAACTGTTTTTTTTTTTTTTTTTTTGGCGGTACGCGGTCCTATCACTGTTGTGGCCTCTCCCGTTGCGGAGCACAGGCTCCAGATGCGCAGGCTCAGCGGCCATGGCTCACGGGCCCAGCCGCTCCACACCATATCCCCTGCAACGGCAGGCGGACTCTCAACCACTGCGCCACCAGGGAAGCCCAATATTTAACTGTTTTAAAGCTTGAAGTATATTATGCTTTGTCCTTTAACCAGAGGATTAGAAAAAGTAGAATATTATTAATGAATATGATTATAAGGAAAAGAAGTTCACTCCCCAATGGAAAAAAAACAAGTCAATGAACACTTCATCCTATTCTGCTTTACCAACGACCTGAATAATTAACAGAGACTCCATTTTAATACCTGGGGTTGTAGAGGTAATGTAGAGTTTAGGAGGGTTTGTGACTTTACTTTTTTTCCCTACAAGGAACTTGGCCACTTACTATTAACTCTATTATATGGACTTTACGTGATCTTAGTATATATTTGTGTCTGGACCAAATGTGTACACAGTTGGGCCTAAACCAAATGTTTCTTTCTCTCCCTTCTCACTGGTTTTTCAGGAAATACAACAGAGTTTGTAATTGGTATTGGACAGACCTGGGTTTCAAGCCATCTCAACTGCTTCCTAGCTGGATAAGTTACTTAGTCTCTCTAAGTCTCCAGTTTATTCATTTCTAAAATGGCACAAAAACCTTAATCTCTAAGACTCAGAAGGGCCAAACGTGTGGCTCTCATGTTGATAAACTCTCATGCTGACAGAATAGAGTGATTTCAGCCACTGAGATACCTAATCTGGCATAAGGAGAGTTGTCTTCTGTGTCCCCAAAATCCCATCACATAGAAAAACTCTGAATGATGAATACAAGTCTGATGGCTCACCTCTGCGGCATATCTCACGCCGTCCACCACGTGTTCAGAGCCGTGATCATCGGTGGACCCCCAGTGAAGGTGAAACTGTCGTAACCTGTAGCTTCCGGTGAGAGGACCCCCACGCAGAACTAAACATCAATACATTTTAAATTGTCAGCAAGAAAAAAAAAAAATTACACATCCTGTCACAACCCACAGCATCTCCCTGGATCACTCAACATCTCCATGTCCTTCAAGGAATTTTTTATAAATGTCATTCAGATGGCTGACAGGAATACAACTTTTAAATATATGAGGAGTAAAAACAAACATTTTAAAAGGTTAAAGAGTCCACAATACAGGTTTTTATGGAATATCTTGTAAATCAAAACAGACACACTGGTTAAAAGTAGCAGAAACTGGGAGTTTGTAGAGGTAAAGAATTGCTCTGTTTAATGGAGAATGTCAGTCTCTCTAAATAAAAATGTGATGTGCTAAGAGCTCCATCTTGAACACGGTAGAGCAGCCTAGCAATATGGTCAGAGAACAGGCTTCAGCGTTAGGAGTCCTGGGGCTCACACCTTATTTACTAACTGTGTCATCTTGCACAAATCCTTTAACTTTGAAACCTCAGCTCTCCTGTCTATAACCTCCAGAGAGTAATGTTACCTCCTCCTGATGCTGTTGTAAAAACAGAAGAAAAATTGAACACAAAGTACTTATCACTGCCTGGCAGAAAGTCAGCATGCTGGACACGTTAGCTATTATTACTATTTTATTGCTGTTATGATTACTACAAAAACTGGCAAAGTAAGCATGTCTTTTATACTTGAATTCTACCTTCTTGGGGAAACATGAAATACAGGACAAAATTAACACTTTTAAAATAATCCATCAAATCTTTGTCACTTTGGCAGAGTATATTTTAGTACTTTGCCTCAACACATATGATCTCTAAAACCGTGGGAATAGAATCATATATTAAGTACACAGAAAAGCTTTTTAGTAGAAAACATAGTCCTAAACTGTCTCCTCCCAATTAATCTTTATTGAGCATGTTTTAAAGGATATGTGAAGATGTGGAAGCATCGCATGCTGATTACATCAAAAGCACTGCTAATCTCTCATTGACATTCCAACAGGATTAAGTGATGGATTGGTATGGTGCAGCCTTAAACAATAGTTTGATTTAAATTACCCTCCTCTTCAGAAGATATATATATATATATATATATATATATATATATATATATATATATCTAAAAATTTGTCAAGAATGATGCACCTTATATAAGAAGCAAAAGATGTTAAGAGGTATCACATGCAGTTTTCTACAAACAACAACAACAAAAAAGACAAGATAATACATTTGACTAAGGCACACTCCTCTTTGAGCTATACTGTAGGAGAAAGAATGATCCAGACTGCCATCTGTATTAACCAGTACAACTGAATTCATTTCTCCCTTACTTGGTTTGACTCGGCTGAAGTTGAACATCAGTAATTAAGAGTTGGTATAGTAGTTGGAATCAGCAGATGTGGGAATAGTCCCAGCTTGGCTACTAAACTATGCCACCTTTCAAAACTCATTTAAGCCTCTATGGGCTTCAGCTTTCTTGTCTATATTTGTGATTGTTTGTTTAATTAAGAGATTGGACTGGATGTTCTTTAACTTCTACAATTCCTGAAACTGCCTAAGGAAAAAAAAATGGGAGTGTATATAATAAAATCTTTTGTAAGGTTGAATGGTTGGGGCTTCCTTTAGATAGATTTCTTTACAATAAATAAAGATAGCTATGTTCAGAGCCCTCTGAAAAATAAAAGAGAAGGGAGAACCACTTACACCAGACTCTAGGGCTTGCTCTTCTGTCACTCTGTCACAAACAGAAAATTGTACTGTTTCTTCTCCCAAGGAACAATGTTCACGAGGGCAGAGACCATCTGCTCGGGTCTCTGTTGTACCCATCCCATCACCTAGCATAGTAACCATCACAGAGGAGATGCACAATAAATATTTGATGAAGGAATGAATAAAATATTTGATTTGTATTTAAACAAACAGTTTCAAAGATGATTCACAGATAAATTAATTTAAAAGGCTCATTTCCCTGACTCCATATAGCATGGATGCAGTGGCATTCCAAACAAAAAGAAATCAACAGCTCTAGGGTCTCTTTTCCCCTCGCTATTGCGTAATAAGACCTGAGCTGAACCTTGAAGTCATTCCTTCACAGATAAAAAGCAGCTTAGAGAGCTTGAGTGATCAATGTGGAATTGACTTTGGGAGAAGATGCAAACAAGCTGGCTCAGGAGAAAGAAAGTGATACCAAGAAACACACACATTATTAGGGAAACATCCAAGAGTACTGGTTGATCTCTGGAAAGCCTGCTCTGAATCCAGGGTTTAAAGCCAGATTAGCACAGCTCTGCTTAGTTAAGCAACAGAGATTGCCTTACTCTTTACATATCTGGACTTGGAGTGTTTTAACTAAAATATCCAACCTGGGACTATGATCAAATGTCTAACCATGAAGACCATTCTCCTGGAGCAGTGCTCTACCAAAGAAACACAGAGTGGGAAAAAATGAGTCAAAATACCAAGGTGAATCGCCAACGTTGAGATGGTCTATAATAAAACAACTAAACAGCTAAACTATGATATAAAATGAATAATGGTGACAAAAATTATTTTTTAATGAGGATGATTTAGTGTTTTAAAGAGTCAAATTCTTCATCTTACTTTCCAACCTAGATGAATAAATATATATTGTTTCCATCTTATGTTTGAAATCTAGTAATTATTTCTCCAAAATCACACTTAGCATATATATATATATATATATATATATATATATATATAAAATACTTCACGTATCCCTCCATTAAGATTTTAAAAAAAGTCTATTCCAAATAAAACTTTCATATAAGAGATCTACAGAGATCAAGAAACCAGAGTTAATTTTAAAGTCTGAGAAAATTTTAATAACTTAGTAAAAGGATATCTGTCATTTGCTATATGCTGCAAAGACCAACTAGGAACATATGCATTACTTTATTGAACTTAACTTTTTTTTTAATTGTTAGTAATTTGCTTACTCTACTCACTTTCTGAAACTACACTGTAGTCAGCTGCCTAAAATGATAAGCAAGGCTGGCAAAACAAAATCAGAAAAAAATTCATTTAGAAAGCAAAACACTTGTCTGTTCATGCATTTACTGTCTATCTCACTAGGATACTCACTCCTTTAAGGCAGAATTGATCTCATTCTCTTGTATACCCAATGCCTAGGACAGTTCCCGGATCAATAAATGTTACTAACATAAAGTAAGAAAGAGACCTCACCTGTAGAAACACTCCCCCACAAACTTCAGTTTGTAAGGATGCTACTGAAGTGACTTGAGCATCACTAAAGCGCATAGTCTTAGGACTTGTGAATCTAATAAAAGTCATGGACTGATCACTGTATGGTAAAGAGTTCTCTGAAGTAAAACTAAATGAACAGCACATCTATATTTTGCTTGGAATCTAGGAAAAGAACAAAGAGCACAGATCTGCCAGGATTATAGTGAGAGAGAGAGAGAGAGAGAGAATGAAGATAGGAATGGTCCTAGATACTGGGGCTTGAATTCTTTTCAGAGCCAGGACAGTCTTCATTAGTCTGGCTTCTGGCTTCCTTTGCTCTGAGCATGTGCACTCCAAGTTACTCTCTGATCACTCATTCATTCAACAATTCTTTAGAGCTTATAATGGGCCAACAACTGTGTTCAATACTAAGTACACAATGAGCAAGGCCATCCTTATCCTCAAGAAACTTATAGAAGGAAACATAATTATAATAAAGTTTTATAATACATCATTGTCACAGATTGCCAATTTAGTTTCCTGTATATCTTGGCTCAGGGCGGGGTGGGGCATGGATCACACAACTAAGGTATGCTTACTCCCCATCTTTTTCTGTTTTTTTCTTTTTTAATATATAATTTAAGATCTTGTACATTTGTTTAACTTCAGGCAGTTACCTAGAACTAGATAACAGGATTATAACTGAGAAATTGACAATTTTTAGAGATGAAAATTAAAGAACAGTCACTGAATCCATCAAGTTACTAGCATTCCTAGTAGGCCTTTCTTAGCAAGAAAGCATCTTCCTTCCTTTTGACATCTTTTTAAAATTTCAGCACAACATATCTTATCCACAGAAGGGACACAGACCATTATTATTTATTATTATTTTTATTACTAGTTATTAGTAGTTATTGAGTATTTACTATATGTCAGGAACTATTTCATTTATTAAAACTTAAAAATTAGTACCACAGCCTTTAAAAATTACATGTTCAAACTATGAATAATCCACCAATGTTCAAACTATTTAGGTGTCAAACGGTAAATATTAATTGATTTCTGGTGGTTTGTAATTCTATCGGGACTTCACCTACATATACTAATGCATTCTGTACCCTAATGCCATACCATGGTGTTGTCCATATCCTCCAAGAAACATCATACCAAAAAAATGCTTTTAACTGAAACATACGTTTATTGAGTACCCTCTGTGTGCCAGGCACCAGGCTAGGTAAATGAGTAAGACACAGCTGTTGCTCACAGGGAGCCTTTAGCTGAGTGGAAAGAACCAACTGGCAGTCACAATGCAATGTGGGAAGTTCTGTACAATCTAATCATTTCTTATTCTAAAAGTAGGAAAGGATAGCCTCAGTTTTTTGTTTGAGAGATCATAAACAGTATCAAACCACCATTATGGGTGGTATAAACTTTGTACTTAGAAACTTCGGACTACTTTTATAATGTACTATCACATCAACCATATCTATTAATACAGATTCATAAAACTGAGGGTCTGAAGGAAAGACAATTTAATATATGTAAAAAGTGAGGTTACTTCTCCACCCACCCAAAAGTTGAAAAGTACCATGTGTTCATCTTTCCTTATGCATCTTTTAAATTGCTCTGATGAAAGCGAATCACATATATGAATTTAACAAATATGAGGAAGAAATGTAATGGGCTTATAATTTTTGCTAACAATATAGCACTACATAAACACAAGATATTATTACTAAACTAAATCTGAGCTTAATGAATAAGTGAAGACTTTCTTCCAATTAAGGATTTTTAAAATTTATTTTTCATTAATAGAGTAAATACAGCATTATCCTAATAGTAGACTTAAGATAAAAATAATTTGTTGGAAGCCTTAAAATTGTTCCAAAATATGATTCTCTCTGATCTTCTCTTTAATCTTACTTTTAAACTTGATATCATCTATTCTTTGGGCAGGAGGTATACTTGAATAAGGATTAAATGTTCATTTTAAAAGGAAATGCTCTTTTCTACTACACTCAGTTTTTAAATTAACAAATAAACTAGTTGTTTTTTTTTTTGGTTGGTCTATTATTTATTCACCGTGTGAAAGACATTATTCCATGAACTAATCAAACAAAACTTTTACTCTAAGTTCTAGCAAAGTACTAATAAGGGACACACAGTGCATAGGTAGTTCAAATATGAAAGATAAGAATGTGCCATCCAATCAACCAAGCTCCTCACCCCAACCAAGAAAAAAAAGAAAAGCCAACCTGATTTGTCCTCTGTGTCATCAAAGTCAACATTGAAGGAATGGCCACTATTACTGATGATTTTAGCTGAGCTTGTGTCGTACTTGATACTAAGAGGTCGGAGGGAAGAATCATATTTCACTTCTTTGGTTTTAATCTCAATTGGAGATTGTTGATCTCCATCAGCAATAGGGAAAAATTCATTCCAATGAATAGGACCTTTAACATATAGGACCAAAAGAAAAGGACTGAATAAGTTATTTCATTCAACAAATACTTGTTGAGTGCAATGCACTGTACTTGACATTGAAGAAAATACAAAGATTAATAAAATACGATCTTTACCCTCAGCACTTTAACATCTAATTGTTTTGTTTTACAAGACCAACTGCTTTTATTATAGGTATGGAAACTTCCTGGTTTGCCTTAATTCATCTTCAGAATTAAACTCACCCTTGTAGACAAAAGAGCATGTTAAAAGTACTTCACAAATGCCTTCTACTGAACTAAAAGCAACACTACAATTCATCATTGAAAACAATGAGATTCAGTCTCAGCTCCAAGAATGATCTGTGAGAGCTCCACAGGTCAGGTTTATGGGCTGAAAGAACTAACAGAGCTGAGAAAGCTGTGTAGCAAAAAAGGGTGTAGTTCTTTAAAATGCTCTCCCCACTTCTATCACTCACTGTATCTTCACATGTCACCCAGTTCTCAGCTCAATTTCCTGTGAATGTGCAACAGGCAAACTAAGGAAATATGTAAATTTTTCACATATAAAATGACTGCACCATGTCAGGAAATGTAATATTGTTGGTTTTCTGCAGTAGAGTCAGGCAACAATTTATTTCTCTCTTTCTGTGTTTCAGAAGGTCCTTCCAGGGTTGTTTTGCCAATATTACATGAATTCCAATACAAGGTACAATTGGCATCCTGGTCCTCATTCACAAAGTCAAAATCGCATCAAGTTCCCAAATCGAACACATGTTTGATAAATTGAGGTGAAGCAATAAACTGACAATTCCCTTGTATACTCTCACTTCTCTGGGAGACTCATTCAAGTTCTGCCTCTCAAAATCAACAGCCAGGTTGCAGCTTCAAGTAAGCTCCAAGCCAGTCTACAGACTTCACAGGTTAGAGGTTCTTATTTCCTCCTCTACTCTGCCTGTAATTTATACCACCTCCACCAGGTCTGTAGAGCATGGCTGCTGACTAAGCTTTTCCCTACTCTACTAACCAACTAACTTGCTTTCTCTAAAAGTGAAGTACTAACTAAGATGACACAGCATGACGATGAATTAAGCATTTGTTACTAACAACAACAAATATTTTTTAAAGATAAGATTTAGAATGAAATTTCAAGAAATGCAAATATATCATAATTATCAACAGCTTCAATCTCTAAATCTAACGCTCCTTATTACTCTTCTTCTTTGCAAAAGAGAAAGCATAAATTCTTTCCTTTACATATGCTTCAGGTACAAAAAAGTCATAGCATGAATACATAACCACACACATAACTTAGAAATTGTTCTCTTATGAATCATACACTTTGGACTTGAAAGCAACTTGAACATCAAAAGTCCTTCGTTACATCTTATTACAGAAAAGGCATTGCATTTCCTTATTTACTAAGTACTTTCATTTACCTTTCTAACACTCTTTTTGTATACAATCTCGTCCTTTTTTCATGTGAAAAAAATGTTCTATTTCACTGCCCACAAGTATGAGTTAACCTAATGAGAATCAGATTTCAAGTATGCAACACATATGTCATATTAACTTTTTTCCAATCAGGAAAGAGCATCTTTCTCCTCTTAATTCCTTTATGCTCCTATTTCCAGTCCTTTATAACCAGAACTATTTTTAAAAGCAGAGGCAAGACAAAATAAGATAAAAATAATAGCACTTTGCGTTAGTCAATATTATCTATTAACCATAATGGTAGGTTCCTTTCCCTTGCCTTTTACGTGCAACGTTAAACCCATTTAAACATAGTTATAGAGATATACAGAAGTTCTTCCATTGATTCAGGAACTTTCTGAATATCCATAGAGATAGGTAGTTTTCAGTGATTGTCACATTTCCTAAACTAAACTAATAAAACTGTCAAAGGTTTGTGGAAGAAGTTGTAAGCTGTTTGTGAAGGTAACCACTTCCAATGCCTCACTTCTTGATGTTCCATTTTATCACTGCTACTATTCCCAGCTAAAGTTTCCTTTTGTCTGCTCATTCACTGCTCTTGCCAGTCTAAACTGGCAAGCAACAAAACTTGCCCAGTCAGGATACAACACATTTCCAATAGGATTTTGCCAAAGTTGATCTACTTAAAGGTGTGGTCCTCAGAAAGCTATTGAATCTAAAAGCAGGGAATGGTCCTACAATTCTTAGCCGAAATACAAAATCACTCCTTGTTAATGGCTTTTCTAAGATGAATTTTTTTTTTTACGTTTTCAAATTTTCATTTTTTTCTTCGGTTTTCTCCAATTTTATTGAGATATAATTGATATACAGCACTATGTAAGTTTCAGGTGTACAGCATAATGATGTGACTTACATACCCCATGATATGATTACCACAATAAGTTTAGTTAACATCAGTCATCTCATATAGATACAAAATCAAAGAAATAGAAAAAATATTTTTTCCCTGTGATGAGAACTCTTAGGATTTACTCTCTTGACAACTTATATATATAACATACAGCCGTGTTTATTATATGTAGCATGTTGTGCATTAAATCCCTAGTACTTATTTATTTTATAACTGGAAGTGTGTACCTTTTGACCACTTTCATCCAATTCCCCCTTCCCACCCACTCTGGTAATCATAAACCTGATCTCTTCTTCTCTAGGTTTGTTTGTTTGTTTTTGAAGCATAATTTACCTATGTTAGTACCTAGTGCACAACACAGTGATTCAATATTTTTATACAATTCAAAATGATCACCATGATAAGTCTACTTACCATCTGTCACAATACAAAGACATTACATAACTTTTTACTTTAGGTAAAAAGTTTACATAACTTTATTCCCCACGCTGTACATTTCATCTTCGTGATTCATTTATTTTGTAATTGGAAGTTTGTACCTCTTAACCTCCTTCACATATTTCTAAGATGGATTTTTAAAATTTCAGATGCACTTCATTGGAGCCAATATTTTCAAACATATTGAAGAGTAATCAATACTCATTGATTGAAAATACGCTTCTCCTTCCTAATCATAGTGAGGGCACTGTTAACACCCAGTGACTATTAAATAACAATAACAGAAATTATTCCAGCAGAGAGGGAAATTAAAAGAAATTTGTTTTGTAGGTTTTTTCCCCAAACATAAATTGAAAATTAGCAAAATGTAAGATTATAATTGCAGTCTCAAAGAGAAATCCACCTAAATTATACCTTTCATTATTAAAACACTAACTTTCACCTGCTGCCATTTTTTAACTGGCAAGTTAGTCATAGCCTCAAAAAGACTACAATTAGAAATGAAACTTTTCTGTTTCTTTGTGAAAGTAAGCTTTCTATAAAATTAACTATACAGTACTGCTGAATAATATGCATGTTAATCCAAGAAAGTATTATTATTATTACTATCATTATTCTCAGACCTAATTTTGACAGTGATTCACTGTAAGGCTTTCGTGGTGTCACTTTGCAAACATTTCAAGTAATGGTTATTTGAAAATCATCAGTTCAGTTTAATACAAAAACAAGAAAAATGGTTTACTTTTGATAACTTAAGATATACAAGAAGAAAAGTATACATCTTATTATTCCTGTTGGTTCCATCAATAAACACATTTTTACCAACGTGTTACAATGTCAATGATCCTTTGTTAATTCCTCAGTCTCTGAAAGGATGTGTAGAAGGGGAAGGAGAAAGCATGCAGACTGCAGACGTAGCTTAAAATATAACTTCATTTCTAAGAAAGAACCTAAAATCTTGGTAAAACCAGCAGTACCAGTCAACCAACTGCAAGTTGCTGTGGAAATATTTTATAGCTAACAGGTAGCTATTAAGAAAGTTGCGGTACATTGATTGACAAGAAGGCAACGTAAATCTTCAATGTTGCAATTCAAGTCATTAAAATTTCTTAAGTATATTTTCAAATATTTTCCATGATTTGTTTCCCCGTAGAGATAATGAGCTTAGAAGACTGAAAGCAAACTTGTCCTCGATTCATTGAAATATGTCCTCAGATTTCTAAACTCGGTGCCTTTGATTGATAAGTAGTTACTACTAGAGAAAGTTTTCGGCTTTTCAAATGAAAGCGAGGGGACATATCTGAAGATTTCGGGGTCTGGGGTATCGTGACAGGGCTAACGCACGTCAACTCACCCCCACTATCAACAGCCTCCGAGACGCTTTCCCTGTCCACGCAGGACTATGCCTTCCCTCCGCTTCCTGCGTGTGGCTCCGGGGAGCGCTGCTCATTCAAAAGACAAACCGAAAAGTTTCTCGCCAAGTGTGGATTGGCAGAGTGCGGTCGGCGGACTCCGGGAAGCGGGCGGTCCCCCTCGGCCGTCCCCGGCGCAGAGCCCCCTCCCTCACCCCTCCCATCCGCGGAAGGCGCTCACCATTGTGCTCGCCGTATCCCCAGCTGAACCTCGCCATGGTCCCTCGGGGTGGCAGGCAGAAGAAGAAGTGGCGGGGCAGCGAGCAGAAGGAGGGAGCGGGCCGGGCGAGCGAGCTTGCGTGGGGCTGGCGGGGGCCCAGCTTAGGGCGGGGGCCGCGGAGGACCGGGAGGGCCCTTGAACCCCGGGGCCAGGGCGCTCTCGGCCTCGTCCGCCAGGGGGCAGTGGCGGGCAGGGAAGGCGCCCGAGAAGGGAGGACGAAGGTGCTGCGAGTGGGGGGGGCGCTCGGAGCGGGGCTGAGTCCTGTGGTGCGAGTCCTCTCACTGTTTGAACTCGGGAAAGACATAGTGCTTGATACGAAGGCGGGGAGATGGAGAGGGAGGAGGGAAAGAAAGAGAGAAGGGCTTCCAGAGGGGCTTTCCTGCCTTCTGAGAATCGGTCATCCTAGAGAGGCAAGTGTTGCCCAGCGGGCCCTCCAGGGAATGAATGAGCCACCCAGGCCGGGAGCCGCCCGGCTGGGAGGTGAGGAACCGGCTGGAGAAGTGAGGAGGGCGGGGATGGTCGTGGTGGCGGCGACTGCAAAGACAATACAGCGCAATAATGACAATGATAAGAGCCACAAAAAGAATTCTGCTGCTATTTATTAAGGACTTACCACAGGCCAGGGTCTTAGCCAAGACGTTTACCCGCATTTTCCCTTTAGATCCTCACAACAGTCTTTTGAGGAAGACACTATAAGTTCCCAATAGTTAGGAAACAAGGGAATGAGGCTTAAAAACTAAGTAACCGGCCCCAGATCAACGCAGCTACTTGGAGCCTAGAGGTCCCTCTTAAAGAGGAGCCGATCCCCACCCGTCCATTCTTGCTGCCCCCTTCTCCTAACGCTCACCCTCTGCGGGCCTGTGGCTTGGGGAGTGAGGGACCCAAGCCTGGTTATTGATCCTCGGCCCTGAAATTCTGTTGCCCTTTTGACCCTGCAGGGATGCTTGGTAGGCTTGCTGCCCTAGACGGACGACGGAACTGACTGCAGAGCCTTGAATTTCTGTCCTCGTGTGGGTGTTCTGGGCTCCCAATGAAAAATAAACTGTGTGACCTGCCAGGATTATAATTACTGTTCCAGCCGTGTAAGGGTTTGAGTTAGGTCTATGTGAACTTTCAAATTGAATTGTGCAGTGTTACTTAGAGACAAACTAATGCAAAGAGCTTCTTAATTGGCATGAGCCTTCCATAAAAGACTTAAGAGTGGCTGTTAAAATATCTTTCATTTTCTCTTGCCATCCACATCGCAGCTGCATAATGTGGCAATTGCAAGTCCCAGGGAGTCCCTCTTTGGGTAACCACTGCATTGTTCAGGGACCACTAAATAAGGATCAATTTGAACTATTCTTCTTTAGACCTGACCTAAATACCCCACAGTGAGCCTGTAGCTCCTTCTGCTTATATAGCTCTTATTGAGGTTAGAATGAAACAGAAGAAATGCTGCACTTCATATAGCATTAAACACAATAAACTTTATGTTTCTCTTGCACCTAGGAGAAGGCCTAGGCTTCCACATTCCACATTCTGTGGCACAACTGGGTTCATTTATGCCAAGAATATAATAGGAACCAAACTTTTAAGAGTAATGTCTGATCTATATTCATTTTCACCACAGAAGACAATATGCATATATATTTATATACACACACATATATATGGGTGTATATAAACTATATAAATACATGTAAGATACATAAGACATATATAAGTATCTTAAATTTATTTAAGAATGTTATCTTGAAAAGTTAAGTCTGGGTTACTTAGCTAAGCACCCTTATTCTCCACTAAGTCTATAGATATAGTTGGGGATACATGTATGCACTGTATGAATGCAGTGAAAGAGATCGCGAAAGCTCAGAATTCCATGAGACATTTTCCCATGGTGCCCTTGTCTCAGATTAAGTTTCATATTTTATAAACCCAAGGAACCTCTCTGTAAGGAGCTTAGTATACCCACTTTCAGTAACTCAGATGATTAGCACATCAGGGTGAATAATGCTCTAAGTAAATGTCAGTTCCTAATGCTCAAGAATAGTTCTTGAATGAATGAATACATGAATTAATGGACCAAAACTGTTAAAGAAGTTCCAATTAGTGGCTTCAAATCCTTCCCAAATTGTTACTTTTACTGCTTGGGTACACAATTTCCTCTGGTTTGAATGTATTGTGTAGTCTATCCAATTTTCCAAAAGAGCAACCTAACTATTAGAAACAATCAAATAACCATTTATAGAAACTGGTTAAATAATCTGTAGCGCATCCACACAATGGGCTGCTATCAAGATTTGAAAAGAATGAAGATCTCCATGAACAGAGATGGGATGAGTTCTGGGACAGATTTGGTGGGAAAAAATAGGAAAAAAAAAGCAAAGGTGCAAAAGAGTGTATATAATATGCTACATTTTTTATAATTTTAAAAAAGAGAAATAAGAATTTGTGTACATATTTGCAGATTTTCTCCAAAAAAAATATGGAGTTTAAACCACAAGTTAACAAAAATGGATCCTTATAGAGGATGGTTGGGGATGGGGTCTATAGGGATGAAAGTGAGATTTCTCAGTTTATCTTTTTAATTTTCTAATCATAAATGTTTTATATTTTCAAAAAAATTAAAGATTAAAAAACACTAAAATTTAATTTAGGCAGAAACAAATGAACTTAACTGTATATTAATGTGATAATATAACCACACAGAAAAAAAAATATGCTTTGAATAGAGTACTCTGGCTATATATATCCTTAATAAAGTATATTACATATTAAGAAGAACTGCAAAACAATCTTGAACTTTACTGCTAGATTTAATTTTGGTAGTAATATCAGTGTTGTTATTGTGAAACCATTTTTGTGTATACTTCTTATATTAAGAAAGAACAATGAGTAAATATATTGATACCCGCTGGAACCAATGATTTTCACTCTGGTTTATACAAATATGAAAGGGCAAAAGCTACAATGAACATTGTCGTACTAGATTTGAATATTCTGTTCACTGAAAGATGCTAAAAGCAGTAACACCCCAATGCCAGTGAACCAAAAAAACAAACTTTATGGCTCCTCACTTATGGACTTCTTATAAGGCCCTATACCTAATTTTATATTTGTAATTTTGTATTCTTCTTTAAAAAAAAAAAAAGACAATTCCAAAATTATATTAGCTTCAGGCTCCACAAATCTGCATCTACCTCTTGCTATGGGACACCTGGCCCCCAGAATTTGATTTCTGAACTCCTTTACCCTTTACAAGGAATCGAGCCCCTTGGAGAAGTGGCTGGTTTCAGAAATGGAACAAGGAAAGATCAAGGTGAGAGCCTAGAACATATTTTTTATGCCAGAAAGCTAGAAAGTGATCAAAAACTAATGAGTCAAGAGAATGAGACACAAGCCACAGAATGGGAGAAAACGCTTTCAAAAGACACATATAATAAAGGGCTGTTATCCAAGATATACAAAATACTATTAAACCTTAACAATAAGAAAATAACCTGATTTTTTTAAATGTGCCAAAGAGCTTAACAGGCACCTCACCAAAGAAGATATACAGATATACAAATAAGCATACAAAAGATGTTCCACATCATATGTCATCAGGGAAATGAAGATTAAAATGAGATACCACCTATTCAGAATTGGTGAAAATCCAGAACACTGACACCACCAAATGCTGGCAACAATCTAGAGCAATAAGAACTCTCATTTACTGTGGTGGGGATGCAAAATGGTAAGAAGACAGTTTGGCAATTTCTTACAAAACTAAGCATACTCTTACCGGACAATCCAGCTATCACACTATTTGGGATTTACCCAAATGAGTGGAAAACTTTGTCCACACAAAAACCTACACGTGGATTTTCTTTTCTTTTTCTTTTCTTTTTTTTTTTTTTTGCGGTACACAAAAACACACCTCACCGTTGTGGCCTCTCACCATTTTGGCCTTTCCCGTTGCGGAGCACAGGCTCCGGACGCGCAGGCTCAGCGGCCACGGCTCACGGGCCCAGACGCTCCGCGGCATGTGGGATCTTCCCGGACAGGGCCACGAACCCGCGTCCCCTGCATCGGCAGGCAGACTCTCAACCACTGCACCACCAGGGAAGCTTCACATGGATGTTTATTGCATCTTGATTTATAATTGCCAAAACCTGGAAGCAACCAAGCAAGATGTCTCCTTCAGTAGGTGAATAGATAATTAAATTGTGGTACATCCAGACAACAGAATATTATTATTAAAAAGAAATGAGCTATCATCATGAAAAGACGTGGAGGTAACTTAACTGCATATTTCTAAGTGAAAGAAGCCGATCTGAAATGGCTACATACTGTATGATTCCAACTATATGACATTCTGAAAATGACAAAACTATGGAGACAGTAAAAAGGTCAATGGTTGCTGAAGGGGTGCTGAGATGAACAGGCAGAGCACAGAGGATTTTTCAGGGCAGTGAAACTATTCTGTATGATACTATTATAATGAATACATGTTATTATAAATTTGTTCAAATCCATCGAATGTAAAACACCAAGAATGGACCCTAATGTAAACTGTGGACGTTGGGTGATTATGATGTGTCAATGTAGGTTCATCATTGGTAGCAAAGGTACCCTCTGGTGGGAGAATGTTGATAACGGTTGAGGCTATGCATGTGCGCTGGTAGGGGGTATTTGGAAACTCTCTGTACCTTCCTCTCAATTTTGCTGTGAACCTAAAACTGTCACCCAAAAATAAATTATAAAAAAAAACAGACCCATAAAAAAACTAATGGGGTCATGTAAAACACATACACATACACACCTCCCACAGGAGCTAGCTTACAGGAAGTCCCACTGCCAGATTTGGGACAATTTGGCCACCAGAAAGAATAATGATGATAATACATTAATCCTCTCCCTCAAATATCTATGAGTCCATAGCGGTACAGAATGAGAGAGAGAGTGAGAGAGAGTGAACTTCTTTATGAGAGAATACAGATGAAATGATAGAATTTTAAACAACCATCTTTGCAAGGCCAGTATTTCAGGCAAGAATCAGTAATGGGCGCTAAAACTTCTGGGTGAAAGGTTTGGTTATTGGTGAATAAAATATTCACACAGTCT